CTTGTTTTTGAGACAGAGTCTTGCTCTGTAGCCCAAGATGGTTTCGAATTTTCCTTAGCCTCCCAAGTGCTGGGGTTCTAGGTATATACCACTGTGCTGCTCTACTCATTCAGTGATTGGCTAGTAAAGTAATGACTTCTTATTTTTAGGGACACTTCAGTTGATTGTCTTAAGTCTCCCAGAGAGATCATAATATCAACAAATAATGATAACATTTTCCTTTCCAGTAACTTTTCTTCTTCCCCCTTTTCCTGATTGTACAATCGCCATTTATTTAATGCATATATCCATTTCTCCCATTTAAAAGCCAATTCTGTACCCAAACATGACATACACAGCACACTAATCTTTCAACACACCAAGATAATTGTAAGATGATATGATTTTTAAATACATTATTGCAAGAACATTGTCTATGCTAGAAGTTGCTGGAATAATTAAGTTGCTTAAAGGTTTTGCATGTTGTGCTTTGTGGTTTACTTTTAAAAATTACAAAATTTAGTGTAAGGTGGTATTAACCTATTTCCAAGTTGATTTTTGCTTTCCATCAACCTTAGTGCTTATGCTGCAGAAGTGTCGGGGAATGGATGGAGGCAACCAGAGTGGGGAATCTGGGTTCCTCCTGCTGGGGATTTCAGAGATTCCTGAGCAGCAGTCTGTCCTCTTTTGGGCGTTCCTGTCCATGTACCTGGTCACAGTGGTGGGGAATGTGCTCATCATCCTGGCCATCACCTCCGACTCACGCCTGTATACTCCCATGTACTTTTTCCTGGCCAACCTCTCCTTCACAGACCTCTTCTTCGTCACCAACACCATCCCCAAGATGCTGGTGAACCTTCAGTCGCAGAACAAAGCCATCTCCTACGCCGGGTGTCTGACGCAGCTCTACTTACTGGTCTCCCTGGTGGCCCTGGACAACCTCATCCTGGCAGTGATGGCCTATGACCGCTACATGGCCATCTGCTGCCCCCTCCACTACACCACAGCCATGAGCCCTAAGCTCTGTGTCTCTCTCCTCGCCCTGTGCTGGGTCCTGTCTGTCCTCTATGGCCTCATCCACACCCTCCTCATGACCAGGGTGATCTTCTGTGGATCGCGGAAAATCCACTACATCTTCTGTGAGATGTACGTCCTGTTGAGGCTTGCATGTTCCAACACCCAGGTCAACCACCTGGCGCTGATTGTCACAGGCTGCTTCATCTTCCTCACTCCCCTAGGGTTCATGATCCTGTCCTATGTCTGGATCATCAGAGCCATCCTCAGAATCCCATCAGCCACTGGGAAGTATAAAGCCTTCTCTACCTGTGCCTCCCATTTGGCTGTGGTCTCTCTCTTCTATGGGACACTAGGGATGGTGTATCTGCAGCCCCTCCACACCTACTCCATGAAGGATTCGGTAGCCACGGTGATGTATGCTGTGGTGACTCCCATGATGAACCCTTTCATCTACAGCCTGAGGAACAAGGATATGCATGGGGCACTGGGAAGACTTCTCTTAGGGAAAGCCTTTAAGAGGCTGCCATAATGGCAGTGTTGGGCATTAGCGTGAAATCCACTATTCAGAAGACCCACATGAGACTTATTAGAACATAGATACCCAGCTGCAAATCAGTTTACTGACTTGCAAACAAAATAAAAAACAACAGATAAACCAGACCTATGTGTAACTCAGTGTTCCCCTTGCTCCCAGAAACTTGTCAGTGAATAAGATCATGCTAACCCCATCAGTCTGACCCATAGTAACTGTGACACTATTCATCAGAATTGGCTAGTCAAACATGGTTCAGTCAAAAATAGCTTCTTAATATTTTTATTAAATAAGTAATATGAAGTTTATAAAAAGTGTTGGAATACAAATAGTCCCAAAATATCATTTGTGTTTCTTCTGTCCAAAGATAATGATCATTTACATTTTTTTTTCTTGTCAGTCGTGGGCCTGAACTCTGGGCCTGGGCACTGTCCCTCAGCTCTTCAGCTCAAGGCTAACACTCTACCACTTGAGCCACAGTGCCACTTCCGGCTTTTTTTTTGCTTATGTGGTGCTGAGGAATGGAACCCAGGGCCTCATGCATGCAAGGCAAGCGCTCTGCCACTGAGCTACCTTCCCAGTCCCTGCTTTGTCTTTAAATTTTAGACTGTAGTCTAAAATTTTTTCCTAGAATGAATTCAAATTGTCTTGAAACTTGCTTTTTATTTAACAAGAATAGCATTTTCCTATGATAGTAACTATTTAGCTACATTATCACTTAATGCCTGCACAGTATTTCAATGTCCAATTTAATGTGTATATATGCATATATATCATAATTCTTTAAGCATAGTTCCTATTTTCCCATATTTAGTTGCTTTCCATTTTTCCCATTGTTTGAGTCAATGACAATAAACTCTGTGGTACTGTTCACTTATGTATTATTTCCTTAAGGGAAATTGGTGAAGTGTGTTTCATTCTCTGGGTCTTTCATAGTATTTCCTCAATTGACCTCTACAAAGTTTGAAACAATTCATAGTTTCTCCAAGAGGAAGCAGGAGCCTTTCGACTTCTCCTCTGTGTTTATTAACTTGCATTGGATTCTCATGAAAAGCAGAGGAAGCTCCAGAAACATCAAGTTTAGAGGAAGCTTCAGAAATGTTGAGTTCTGTCTAGAGAGTTCAATAATCTTGTGCTTCTTTGGAAGTACTGTGCTTGAACTTTGGGCTAAAAAGGGGATTGGTATATCCAAAAAGATTGAGCAGCAAATGCTCCAGGTTCTGACTTGCAACCAGCTGTTTGGGTACCTTTGAGAATCAAAGTCCTTGTCAATCATCCCATCCACAAGGAAGGCATTGGTGCGGGATCAGTGGAGGCCAGGCCTTGACCACCAGTTGGGTTATTGCAGTAGAAATTTGGCTCCTTGCCTGGAATATAATGGCATCCCACGGGAGCTAAGGCTGATTGATCCACAAGGACCCGCTTCCTTCATGATCACCCAAAAGGCAGGAATTCCAGAAGATAGATTCCTGTTCTGGACCAAAAAAAGGTGGAAAGATTGTGGTTGTATTGCCCTCCGTATTCTTTTTTTTCTTCTCACTCCAATAAATGAGTATTTTTTCTAATTTTTATTGTTATTATAAAGGTGATGTACAGAGAAGTTACAGTTATATAAGTCAGGTTATTAGTACATTCCTTTTTGGACAATATGACCTCCTTCCCTTGCTCTCTCCCAGTTTTCCTCTCCAATCCCCACTTACAAATTATACAGTTCATTTTCAACATAGTGTCTAGTAAGTATCACTGCTGCACTTATTCACCCTTTGTCTTCCAATTGTATCCCCTGTAACCTTCTAAAGATAGATAAACAAACAAGACAAAAAGAAAAGAAAAGAAAGCAACAAGGGACAAAAACAACCTCTTAAATGAATCTTTTTAAGAAGTCCACTGTGTTAATAGAGTTTAGTCTGGCCTTCTGAGCTGAGGCAGATTGTGATAAGCGATTGCAACTACAGGACATTTAGGCTATTTCTCCACAAGCTAGTTACAACTTCTCAGAGCATCCTATGTCCTGGAGAGGTAAATCCCAAATAGATTGGAGCTTAATTGAAAGAGAATGACTAGAGTAAATACCACTAACACTCTCTGATCCCAGCTTATACTGGGGTATAAAATGGGTTCCCAGTGTGAAGCTGACATGAGGAATCAAGAGTGGGTTGAGGATTTTCCATGTTAAACTACAATTTTCCTTTCCAACTTTATTTAACTTGTCTTTGTTTTTGCATCTGAGGCTACAGCTTCAGGACTGTGCTAGTGCTTTCCCTACCTTAAGTCCATCTGGAGTAGTAACCATTTTCCCACGTCCTAACTAACACTATTTCAACACATTTCTGTCGATCCTATGCTTAACAAATTACATCCTAATCTTGTGTTCACTGCTCTAACATAGTAATGTTAAACATTTCCAGTATTGGCTAGAAATGTTCTTTTTTTGTTAATTGTATACTGCTCTAGTTGCAGTGCTGTGCATTCTGTCATTCATGGCTTAGAGCTAGGATACCTATTGTTCCCAACTCTACTTTGCATTGTGGCATTAACACCATGATCATGCTCTTATCTGGTCTTTTCTCTCCTGACAGCATGTCAGCTTTGATATGACTGATGATACCTAGGGGGTTAGAAGGGGGAACTCACACAGAACTCTAGACAGACATGAGAGCATTTTGGCTGTTTTGTTTATAAATGTGTCCTGGTCTCTGTCATTGGCTCCTATGTACCACCATGGCCTCCACTTGAGGACAGACCAACTACAAGGACAGGTTTGTTCCCACATGGAAGGACAATCAAAACCTAATGATGGGATGGTGGATCAGTGACGCTCTCAGAGGAAGATCTAAATCAGAAGGAGGAGGTATCATAAACAATTGTACAAATAGAGTAATTTTCATCATACACAACTCAGAGAGAGCCAAGGGACCATAGGAACAAAACTCCCCAGCAGAAGGAATCTTTTAGTAATATTCTTAGTTAAGTAGGCTAAGGTAAACCAAATGGCTTTTCCTAGTGGGACTTTGTTTCCCACTCATACAGATCCTAAACTTCTATTATACTCCTAAAGTTATACTCCTAAAGTTAGCATAGATCAAAGTAAGGTAGCCACTTCCCCAGTGGCATTGCTTGGTACTAATTCTCCTCATATTCTCCATATTTGTTTTCCTTTATAACATTTCACACCACAATGACACATTATATGTCATTTTGTTTATTCTGTTTTTTGTCTATTCTGTTTATTAATTCTCTAGAAGAGTGTCTGGATTACAAAGGATCAATTCAACTGATCTTAATTCAATTCAACATTTGTCAAATGACCGAATAATGTTGGGTTTCCTTGTTGGACAAACTTGTAACATTGATGTTAAGACATGATGGAATAAAGGAAATAGTAATGGACTATTTTATACTGGTTTTGGCCTCAATGGAAAATTTTTCTGTCCAGAAAAAAAAGCAGGAAAAGGAGGAATCTGGTTACCTCTCAGGTCCGTGATCGCCTTCCCACAAACACATGCCACAAAGCACCCTGCACATCAGGGTTCCTGAGGCTGTAGATAAGTGGGTTCAGCATGGGATTAATAACCGTGTTGAAAATCCCAACCCCCTTGTCTTTGTCTGAAGCCTCCTCTGAACCCAGACGCATGTAGTTGAAGATGCCCGTGCCATAGAACAGACAAACCACGGTGAGGTGGGAGCCACATGTGGAGAAGGCCTTCTTCCTGCCCTCCATCGAACGGATCCGGAGAACGGCAGCTGCCACATGAACGTAGGAGCTAATGATGAGAACCACAGGTGTACCCGCCATGATGAAACCCACACCAAAGAGCAGCAGCTCATTGAACTGGGTGCTGGAGCAGGAGAGCTGGAACAGCTGGGGAAGGTCGCAGTAGAAGTGATTGATCTTATTTGGCCCACAAAACTTGAGAGTAGTTAAGGCAATAGTATGGGTCAAGGCATTGGAGAAGGCACAAGCCCAGGACACAGCCACCAAGATCCTCTGCACTGTCTGGCTCATGCGGGTGCTGTAAGTGAGTGGCCGGCAGATGGCCAGGAATCGGTCATAGGCCATAGCTGTCAACAAGAAGCAGTCCATCCCAGCCAAAAGGTGGAAGAAGAAGAGTTGTGTGAGGCAGGCACCGTAGGAAATTGTACGCCTGTGGGACACAAGATGACTCAACATTGGAGGGACCGTGACAGTGATACACCCAATGTCCAGTGCTGATAGGTTTCCCAGGAAGAAGTACATGGGGGTGTGGAGTTTGGGCTCCAGCAAGATGGCGGCCAGGATGCTGAAGTTGCCCCCAACTGTGAGCAGGTAGGCAAAGAGGAAGAGGACAAACACCATAGATCGCAGTGTTTCTGATTCCACAAGGCCCAATAAAATGAACTCAGCAACCGTTGTGCTGTTAGTCCCAGCTTCTGGATCCATGAGTTTCTATAAGATAATGTCCTATGAAGGGATATGTAAGTCTACTCATTCATTTAGTCAATGTAAATTTCTTAAATCAGTAGGCTCAAACCCCCACAGTAATGCTTCCACCTGTCCAGTTGAGTATTGTCCCACTCTCCAGGACATGCTTTATTCTCTGACCTCTACCGTCATAATTCTTTTTCTTGCTCTTAGGTGAGATGCTCAAATATCACATCACCCCTTCCTTCCCATTGTCTCCTAGGTGAAAAGATCAGGACACTTGGAAAATTAAATTAAAAGCAGACTACCTCTTTAAAGAAAGGAAGATTAAGTTTCCTCTATTATTTTCTCTGAGGGATTTGCCCAAACCTATAATCAGATGCTGAGATAGAAAAATTATTGCTTTCAGAGATTAGAAAGCCATTAAAAACATAACATAGGTTTAATTGCTTTTGGAAATAGTGCAAGTCAGGAGGAAGTTTAGTGAAGAATGAATCATCTGAATCCATGATTATGGGTTTGGGAAGATGAGGCAGGTATATTTCTCAAGGTGAGGGATGGCTACATTGAAATTCTATAGTTCAAGGTATTTCTAGTGTTCTTGCACTGCACTTTGGATAGGAGCTTTATTAGAAGTTATTTCTTCTGTTTCTAAGGTTAGATACTTCTGTCTAAAACCAGGATGTGCTTGGAAAGCCAGATTAAATTGTCTTTTAGATTTTATATCAATCTCTGGATCAAAAATATCATTGCTTGTTAATTGTTCAAAAAGGTTACACCATGGGATCTCATTCCTACCTGTACAATCCTTATGTGTTTTCAAGTATGTTTATATTTCAGATCTAGGCAGCTCAATGACATGAATCCCAGGAAGCTGAAACATATCTTAACTGAGCACATGAGGGTTAAATTGAGCAAACAAATGGAAAGAGGAATAATCAGTGAATAGAGCCATAATATTCCCAGTCCATCTATGAAAACTGAACTAGAAAACCTGAGATGGGTAGAAGGGCAAAGACTGGCAAGGAGAATAATGAAAGATCAAGATGCATTGTATACAGTTGAATTAAAACCTTTTGTACACCTATTTGAAGAAGACACTAAAAGAAGCATTGACTCTATTCGCCAAGGAATAAATATAGTTGGGGATTCATGAAAGGTAAAATCACTTCCTTGCATAGAGTATACTGGAATTGGAGGTGGGAAGCAGGTGGAGCCTAGCAATTCTAACAGAAGGGGTAGGTGATCGGTGCTTGAGTTGAGGCAGTATCATTCAGGGACACGAGTGGATAAGGAGACCCCCACCCCCACCCCACAATCAGAGACACTGTAGTTTATGACTGATGTCAGTGCTTGGACATAAAGACCAAGGAGATCTTTTAAGCCCTTGCACCAAAACTGGAAATGAATGCACATTTTGGTATCTGGACTTCTCTGTTCTCAATTTTGATCTGAGAAGCATAGGAGGCAGGACCCCACATGCTGACTATTCAGACTTTGTCTGAAATGTGAAAGCAAGAAGACCACGTCAACAGTTCCACAGCCACCCATCAGCATTGACCAGAGAGAAGCAAAGGCCCAAGGCACACAGGAGCAACCATGAATCAAGTGCATTTAAACAAAGTTAACACTTGGCTGCACATTAGAATACGGTAGCTTAAAAAAAATCCTGATATCCAGATGCCTCCTTCCCTGGATCATTAACTCAGAGCCTCTGAATATGAGACCCAGGCATTAATATTTTTCAATCACCCACCTCATCACTGCCGCTCAAAATTCCAGAAACAGTACTTCCAACTGTCAACTCTGTCTTGCTATTCCCTGACTCTTTTTACTTTGATAGTCTTGAAGGGAGAAGAGACAATAGTTTGAAAAGTGACCTATAGAAAAGCTACACAAATTCAAGATATCTTACAAAAGTTTGCTGATCACTTCTTCTAGCTGCAATTCCTGAATCTCCTTAGACTAGGTTCACAGGCCCCATAATTGTTGGAGTTAATAGGATTATGACTGGATTATGGGAAGCCTTAAGAATAAAATATTCACACACAAGCTTTTGATCAAGAGTTCTGATTTAATTCTTGGTGCTTGAGTATAAGTGTTTCTCAGGTGGTTCAAATGTCTAGCCTGAATAGAGAAGCTCAGTTATATTTGCAATTTGGGAGGCAATCACAAAGACAAGAATTTGGATGAGATAATCTCCAAAATATTCTTAAAATTTTAAGATCTGGAAGTGGCGCTCTAGCTCAAGTGGTAGAATGCTAGCCTTGAGCTGAAGAGCTGAGGGACAGCGCCCAGGCCCAGAGTTCAAGCCCCACGACTGACAAAAAAAAAATTTAAGATCTGATGAGCTGAGGGAAAGTGGAAATTCCTTCAGATCTGATTAATATGATGATATTGGTAATTGAAGAATGCTTTTTAAATTGACAAACGAGTGGTCTAAAACAGTTCTTCACATGTTACATTGCATAGCTAACTACTCTCCACATTTCATTAGGTCCTTTTAACACAAACACTAGATAGTGACCCTAGGATTTTCCACCTCCCTGCCCATGCTGTTTGTTTGCTTATATTTTATTTATTTAGACAATACTGAAGTTTGAAATCACATCCTCAAGCTTGCAAGGAAGACAGTCTACTACTTGAACCAGTCCCCACCAAGCCCTTTTGCTCTCATTGTTTTTGAATAGGGTATCTCTTTCTACCTGGCTGGCATGGATCCTTCTTTTTTTAAACATTAAAAAAAATATCTTTAAGCTGGGCACTGGTGGCTCACGCCTCAGGAAGCTGAGATCTGAGGATCATGTCTCAAAACCAGCCCAGGCAAAGAAAGTCTGTGAGACTCTAATAAACCACTAGAAAACCAGAAGTGGCGTTGTGACTCAGGTGGTAGAGCATTCCCCTTGAGCTGAAGAGCACAGGGACAGTGCCCATGCCCAGAGTTCAAGTCCCAAGCTGACAAAAAAATTATCTTTAGGTCAATGTGACCCCTTTTAACATTCTTACCCATCCGTCTCCTACATACCCTATTCCTCACTCTTCTTAATTTTGTAAGCTATACATTGAATTCTTGATCCTTCTATTTATACTTTTCATACAGTGGTGTTAACAGGTACATCCCATTTTTTATTGGTTGAGATGGGGCCCTGGGCTGATCTCAAACTGCAATCCATCCAATCACAACCTCCTGAATAGCTAGGATGACAGGCACAAACCACTATGCCTGCCTCCATGTCATTTTTTTATGTCTACAGTGGCTTTCTCTCAACTCTACATGCCTAAATATTCCAAAACTTGACTCAGATGCTGGCTGCAGAATCAGTACTTATCTCTTCTCTGCCTCTTCCTCCTAAGCTCACACCACATGATTTCTTAGAACTTATTTCTGTTTATCTTAGAGCTGAATCTCTCCTACATCTTTGTAGGTGACTTGAGAACAGAACTCAAGTTAGATAGATTTCATTGATAGCAATAGTCATCGTAACACTTTATACATACTAGGTACTCGATGTTTCTTAAAAGACACAAGTGGGTGGTTCCAAGTTTCCCTGGAGTTCCAAAGAAAGACAGAAATCAGTATGAGCTGCAGTTTCCATGGAAGACTTTCTAGACAGGAAAGAATTAGGGTGAGACCTTTACTGATGAGAATGATAGAAGGGAAGTGTAGGACAAGGGCAGGGCATGAGATTGTTGCAGGGACTTCTTTGTATTGATGAGATAAGCAGGATATATAGAAATCCATGCTGGCATGTTCCTTTTCACATGAACAGTCCCCAAACAAGGCCTATACTATTAGGAGAGGTTTACCCTGTGGACAAATGGGTCACAGCCAAAGACAAGAACAATGAAATGGCCCCTGCCGACACTTACCCAGCTAGACACACCACTTGGATCCTGAGATGACCTCTGATCACCCTGAGTTGTCTGGAGAGCCTGACACGGTCACTTGATGACTGCCTTCAAAGCCTCATAGTGTTCATTCTGGAACTCTAACCATTGCTCCCTGCCCCCAACAATGAAAAGCTCAAAAAGACCTTCAGTAGAGGGAAGTCTTCTGGTACAGGGGGGCCTGGACAGTGATCTGGACTCAGCCAATCCCTCCCTACTCCTAAAAGGAACAGAGATCAAATTTCACTCACAAGAGTGGAAGAAAGAACAGAGAAGGAGTCAGGGCCTCTGGGACATCATCCTAGCTACTCCCTAAACCAGCTCCCTCTTTCAGATGTGTTACTGCAAAATAGATCATGTCCGCTTTGAGCTGATGGCAACCAAAGCCTCCGTTTCTGTGGGATTAAGGCCCATGATAACTTACCTGGGATAGGCACAGATGCCAATGAGAGTTCCACAGACAGCAAGTCAGGGGCTAAGTTCAGGGTTTAAGTAAGGGAAAACAAGATGATGTCTCTCCTGCCACAGTCTCTCTTCACTATAGCATCAGCCCCTGGAGGGCCTCAGAAATTAGTTGCCCCATGAGAGAAGAGGAGAGAAAGAAAGAGAGAAAAATAACTAGAAGGAAAATATCTCCAGCCCTGAATACGTATCTGGTAAGAGCATCTGATCTTTTCTGACATTTAGATTTTCTGTAACCCTAGCTTAATGGTCAGGGAGTGAAGGCACATGACACAAAACCATTGAACAGCGGGATGACTGACACATGGAAGACTTGTCTAAGTCTCCACAGCACCCCAGAAATCAGGAAATACAGTTAGGGACTCAATAGAGGCTTCTTAAGGAAAGATATTCTTTTCTAGAGCTCAACCCAGGGCTTTTGAGCCATAAGAAGCCAGTGTGCAGACTTGCCTTGAACCTGAGGAGCAGGAAGAGGCCCCAGAGGGAAGCAGGAGGTAAGGGAGGCTATCTTCCAACCGAATAAAAATGCAGAAATATGGTGCTTTTCCCTTGGGGCCTTGTCAGTGAGGGTCACTGGGACTGTAGCTTGGGGAGTCCTACAATGATTTGGAAAGAGGTGGTGGCAAAATCTCCATTGTGCTAAAAAGGCTCATGGGAAGCTGTCCATTAACATGATTATTCCAAGTCAGGCCCTTGGAAATCAAGAGTTCTAGTGAAGGCCACGGACTAATGAATAGAGAGTTGGGAAGATTGAGCTGTGTTTTGCCATCTCCCATTCCTGCAAATAATTCAACATGTTGACAAATTCTTATCTTTCCCTGAGAGAATGCTTGCTCTCCTCTCCTCAAAAGAGGTCCAGTACAACAATGAAGACATATGGACAGATAGGCTCTTCAGGTTGTTAGCAGTTTGACTTTGGGCAAGCTGTCTTGTGCCTCAATTTCTTCATCTATGAATATAACCTCTGCTGCAGAACATTGCTGGGATCACTACATAGAGTAAAATGAGTCATTAAGCTAATAGTAGAGCTTTGACAATATGCCAGCCCATGAATGAATGACCTTAATGAGTGCTTCTTATATACAGGGCAACATGCTAAGAAGTGTACAGTCTTAAAGTCTCTGCCAACATCACAAGTCTAAGAAGTAGCTTATAGTAGATGTTAGAAATTCTGCCTCACACCTGCTTGTCTTGTCTTCTTAATTTGGCCATGATGGAGGTTGCCAGTTCCCTGATAGCTCATGTTTATTGTTAGACTCTTGTTTTGGATCCTCTAAAGTCCAGAACAATGAAGGAGTTATTCCAACAGAGAAACTGTGGGGCTCAGAAGTGAAGGTGCAGTTTGACAATGTTAGCTGGGGGCAATGAATAAATTCTCCAGCCCCCTAATTCATGCATGCACTTCTAGAAAACATTCTATAAAGTTCTTGCACCATCAAGCCTTTGCTATCTGTAGCTAGGAGTATGGAAATGTGCTCTCAGGCCCGTGGGTTTTCCTCACTCAGCTTTGTACTCTTCATACATCAGTCTTTTTCTTTTCTTTGTTCACTGTTCTTGGGATGTAACACATGTAATCAGTGTTGCTTATTCCCTGGAAGCCCCTTTCCCTTTAAAATACTTCCTAGTACTCTCTCTCTTTCACACCACACACACACACACACACACACACACACACACACACACGACTTATCTCAGGCTCTGCTTTGGTAGGAATCCAAGAGAGTAATGAGAGTAGTTCTAGGGACCATGTACTCCAGATGGAATTCTGAAATATGTTCACTACAATTGGGGTAAGTAGTTAGAGTTAATCATCAACAGAATCACCATTACTAAGACTCACTCAAAACATGAAGAATTTCCACAAGTCATTATAAAAAATTATACAATATATGCATGGATCTAAGACATATTAGCCTATTAATATGTCAATTTTTATTTGGTAGTTAGAATAAATTTAATTAATATAAGACATAATTAATTAATATAAGACATAAAAAGATAAAATAAAAATAAAAATAAAAAGATAAACCACCTCAACTTATCAGAGAAAAAATGAGCCATGAACAAACAAGAAGAGATATGAATAACAAATAAGTACAAAAAATCTCTCTACACTCATAAACAAAATCATAGACGTGAACAATACAATATTTTATTAAGTTTTAATGATAAAAAGATATATTTCTAGCACCCAATGAAATGTAAGATGTGAGGTAAAAGCATTTTCATGCACTGATAACCAAGATGTGAAATGGTGTACATCATTTTTGGCAAAAAGAAAGGTAGAATACTCACCAAAGTTTAACATTGCATTTGTAAATAGTTTACCTCACACCCATACTGAACTTTTATGAACTTCACCAGTGGAAGTAATATCAGATGTATGAAAACACACATATACACTAATCTTAGTATTGTTCACAATTGCAAACACAGAAAGTAGAATGTCATGCAGCTTTAAAAATGGAGACAATAGATTGATACATTAATGTAAAGAGTTATACTATGCAATGTAAAGAGAGAAAAGTAAACTACAAAATAATATGGTGTTTAATTTGTCCAAAAAAGCTAAACAATTAACTGTTGGCATTAGTTACTTTTGGAGAAAAAAAAAGAGTTGAGAAGGCTTTGTGTATTTCAGGTCTATTGAAAGCTTCAAGTCCCAAAGAGATTTCTAATTTGGAATAAGAAACAGGAGACAGACTCCAAAGGCAATGGAATTACCCCAATTGTTAAAGCAATCTCAGGAGCAGGAGGGCATACAGAGAGCGGAAGTCAAGGTCCTAAGTTCTTCTCTGACACACTACCCCAGCTGCTGCCCCAGAGATGGTGCCAAGACAAAGTTACCCCTCAAAGTTTGACAAGAGCAGCCAGGTGATGGAAGCGCTGGAGGCTTAGGGATTTTTGTAGATAAACAAGCTGTGCTTTGCCTTCAGTGTTAAACACTGGCAGGGACAAGTGATGGGGGAAGCAGTGGAAGCAATCCTGATGTGAACAGAATGAGAATGTCTTTCTAGTTACTCAGGTGAACTGCGCCAGATGCTGTCTTCAATGGGAGAATGTTCGCTGCTATCTGTGCCTCCTGCCAAGTACATGCCCAGAAGAGATGAAGTTATTCAATGTCAGGAATGTTTGAACAAGAAGACTGATGACTTTATTGAATGGCAACTCCTTTATACAACTACTTAAGGATAATAATAATTTTTAAAAGCCCAATGAAGTGAAAATTGTGTCATGTCACTGGTTTGTCCCAACAGTTTTCTGATCCTCGAAGGAAACTTACTGTGTTGTATCCCTGAACTTTGCCTAATGTCTCAAAAAGAACGAGGAAAGATCCATCCATGCCCTGTTGTTTGACACTGTCATCAGGCATAACTCAAGAGGCAGGAAGGCCTAAACTTTGATATTTGAGATTTAACATTGGATAAACACCTGACACTCTTTTGCTCCCGGCTTTTCTCACTAGATGCACCTTCTTGGCTTTTCTAGGATGATCTCTGTTTACAGAAATAGAAAACAAACCCCTCTGTATTCTTTAGCACATTTAGAAAAACTTAAAATATTATTTTCTTCTTAAAAAAGAGGATGGAGCTACATTAATGGCTTCAAGGTTTCCAGAATTAGGAAGCTCAAATGTGACTCACTAATTTTTAATCTCTTCTCTAATCTTTTAACAGTCTTGATGCATTTTACCTAGTGTTTCCATTCTTTCTGATCTCCCACTCTAACTTTATGCCTCATTTTGTCCTCTGCAATATTTCTAGTATTTCATCTAGTTCTTGGGTTGCAGATTTATCCTACTATTTTTTCTTATTCTCCATCCTTCACTTTTATTTTTGTCATGAACTTCCAATCTTTCCCTTCCAATCTTGTTCTATTTTCTTTATTCATATCTTTTCCTTTTTAGCTTACCCCACCCTTCCAATCCTCCACCTGATGTCAAGTTTAGAGAAATTAATCAAGAACTGTCAATGACACAGTAGAACTGCCAGGAGTAGGCAGTTAGTTCTAAAAAGGATGCTGAAAGAAAGATATGTCTAAACGATGAATGGTAAGAGTGATACATCTAAATGATGAATGCTGGTAATGAGAAAGCTAGAGGAGATGATGTTTCAGGTCAGAGACACACTTTCCTGCTGACCATAGAAACTCAGTGTGGTATCACTTTACAATCTTCATTTACAGATGGATTTGTCCCAGCTACAAGGTCTGGTGACTAAGAATGAGAAATTCATATGTAAGCATCTAGGGTTTTTGAAATATTTAAATAATGTTTAGATGATACATTCTCATATCTCAAAAGATTTAAAGCAAATGGAGAAGATATGAAGGAAACTGTTTTGTATCATAAGCTATATCATAGACATGAATAGTTGATTCAACATCTGAAAACAAGTTTAAGAGCAGGACACGGCATCCTATTCTACAAAATGACTAGAAAATATATAATCAAAGATTTCTTATCTATCCCCTCGGGTTCTAATGGAATATTTGTGCTATAGCAAAGGGAAACATTACGCTTTTTTTTCAAGAGCTATGTTTTATAAACAAACCAACTATACCCAAACTTGAGGGAAAATTTGACTCCTCTGGGGGAAAATTTTCTGGGGGATACTGCTGGAAACTCAACCTACAAGGACAACACAATGACTTGAGATTGTAATTTGTCAAAGGGACTGGCCTGGTACAAACTATAAATCATTGCCTATAACTGGACAGGGCTTCTTTGGGAGGTAATAATTAGTATTCCCAATGAAGTTATCAACCTCAGAGAGATGGAAACAATCCTGGACCATTTGTCCTAGTCCTTGACTCTATAGGAATTGTCCATTCATTTAAAAAGACACATGGAAGAAAGGGCACTGGAGGCCTCCTCAAGCCGTGGATTGCTTCCTTGAGAGCACCCTCCAGAGGGCAGCCTGCACATCAGGGTTCCTGAGGCTGTAGATAAGCGGATTCAGCATGGGGTTAATGACGGTGTTAAAAATTCCCACAGCTTTATCCTTATCTGAAAGTTTGGCAGAACCTAATCTCATGTAGTTAAAGATGCCTGACCCATAGAAGATAGCCACCACAGTGAGGTGGGAGCCACAAGTGGAGAAGGCCTTCTTCCTGCCCTCCACCGACCGAATGCGGAGAACCGCAGCTACCACATGAGCATAGGAGATGAAAATGAGAGCCATCGGGGAACCTGCCATGATGAAACCCACACCAAAGAGCAGCAGCTCATTGAGCTGGGTGCTGGAGCAGGAGAGCTGGAACAGCTGGGGAAGGTCACAGTAGAAGTGATTGATCACATTGGGGCCACAGAAGTTGAGTGTGGAGATGGCCACGGTGTGGGTCAGGGCATTGGAGAAGGCACAAGCCCAGGACACCGCCACCAAGATCCTCTGCACTGTCTGGCTCATGCGGGTGCTGTAGGTGAGGGGCCGGCAGATGGCCAGGAATCGATCATAGGCCATGGCCGTCAACAAGAAGCAGTCCACCCCAACCAATTGATGGAAGAAGAAGAGTTGTGTGAGGCAGGCTCTGTAGGGAACTGAACGCTTGCGGGTCATGAGGCGAACCAACATGGAGGGAATAGTGACGCTGATGCACCCCACATCCAGCACTGACAGGTTCCCTAGGAAGAAGTACATGGGGGTGTGGAGTTTGGGTTCCACCACGACGGCTGCCAGGATGCTGAGGTTTCCTCCCGCCGTGACCATGTAAGCACAGAGGAAAAGTACAAAGATAAGTGGTTGTAGCTCTGGTGTCTCCACCAGACCCAGCAGGATGAATTCAGTAATGGTTGTTTCATTGGCCTCAGAGTGTGGTTGCATGAGTTCCTGCAAGGAAACATCCAAGGAAGCAAATAATCAGTCCTCTCCGTTAGTTTATTGTTCAAGAAGAAGAAATGGTCCTGTTTGTACATGCCTAGCCTTTTGCTGGTTTCCGTCGGTCTGAGGAAGGGGTTTTCTACTCCTGACATTATGCTTGTAAACTGTAATACTACATTTGCCCCCAATACCTTTACTTCATTCTTAGATGACCTTAGTGCTCTGGACCTCTTCCATCCTCCAGCTAAAGAGTTTATTATAAATATAATGAGAGGCAAAACTCTTGGGAAAAATAAATAAGCAAAAAGCCTACTTCTGGTTTGAGTGTAGTAGATTAAATCAGGCACCTTCTCTTCTCAGAATTCATGCCCTATAAAACCAAACAGAAGAATAAGCATATAAAATATATTTTCAAAGAAATGGGTAAATATACCAGATTGAAGGGCTTCAAAAGCAGTGGAGATCAATAGAAGAATAGCAAGAAGCAGAGAAGAAATCTTTGTCTATAGAGGGGCTATAACAGTCCGGTTATGGTGGCTCACACCTGTAATCCCAGTTACTTAGATGAATGAGATCTGAGGATCACTGTTTGAAGCTTGTCTGAGTAAGAAAGTCTGAGAGACTCTCATCTCCAATTAACCACCATAAAGCTGGGGGTAGAGCTGTGGCTCAAGTGGTAGAATGCCAGCCTTCAGCAAAAACGCTAAAGGTCAGTGCTCAGGACTTGAGTTCAAACCCCAGTCTTGACACAGTAAAAAAGAAGAAAACAGTGGAGGAAGAGAAACAAGAGGAGGAAAAGGAGGAAGAGGAAGAGGATAAAGAAGAAGAGGAGGTAGAAGAGTTCCAATACTTGAAAGAAAAAAGATAGCTAGTAAGGAACAAAAAAGCCCTCATAGCAATAATGAGAGTAAGGTCAAAGCATGGCACCACAATCTTTTGTGATCCTGAGCTGAATTCAAGAAACAGAAGAAGGGCTAGATGAAAAGCTAAATACACCAAAAAGTCGTCAGTGCAGGCTTCAGTTAGGGCAGGGGACTAATAGTAAACAATAAGGAAAAATTTATCTTCAACTTGGAATCACAAAATAAAGTCCTGCCAAACTGAAACATGTTCTTAAACCTTTTCTAAGAAAGGTAACCCACAAATGTCTACTTTAGCAATAACTCACTTCTTTTAAGATTCAAAAACAAATAAGAACAGGATCTATATAAAGATCACATAATAAAAGGGCAAGAAACAAATGATAAGAACATGAAAATAAATTGAACTGCGAAAAGACAAGGAAAACAATAAATAAAAGGCATCTTGAGAAAACTTAGGGAATTCAGATAGATAAGGAAATAATATTTTAAAATATGATAAAACAAAATGGAAAAGTAGATAAATGTTCCATAAATGTTCTAGTATAAGAATAACCAGGGGCTGGGAAGGTGGCTCAGTGGTAGAGTACTTGCCTTGCATGCATGAGGCCCTGGGTTCAATTCCTCAGCAACCACATAAGCAGAAAAAGGCAGAAGTGATGCTGTGGCTCAAGTGGTAGAGCTCTAGCCTTATGGCCCAGAGTTCATGCCCCATGACTCACACACACACACACGCACACACACACACACACACACACACACAAGAATAACCAGAATTTGACAAACATGGAAAAATATGTGTAAATGGATACAACAAAGTATGGCTAACTTTCCTAATAGCAAAAGAACTATCCCTCAATGTATAAAGACCAATAATTCAGTGGGAAAATGGACAGATGGTATTAAACAACATTTCACAGATAAAACAACATGAGAAAAAGTGAGGAGAAGGTAGGAGATAGTAATGGAGAGGGTGAACTTGTTCCAAGTAGACTGCACACATCTATGGAATTATCACAGTGAACTCCTCTTGTATTATTAGTGTATGTTAATCCTAAAATAAAATATTAAAAGAAAACTTTTTTAAAAAAAACATTATTCAGCAATTTTAGTTCTGGATATATATCCAAGAAATTGAAGTCAGTATGTCATAATAGCAAAGATGTAGGACCAACAGATGAACTGATAAGGAAAATGTACATATAAACAAGTAACATTCAGCCTGTGAAGAACAGGAAATTTTGTCCTTTATGAAAATATAGATAGCTCTATAGAACAGTATTCAAAGAGACAAAGCCATGCACAAGGAGACAAATGCTCAAGACCCCACTTACATATGGTATCTAAAAACTCAGGAGTGAGGAGTAGAATGGTAGCTGGGGTTGTAGGAGAGTAGAGGCTGATTAAATGGTAACATGTTTCAATTAAACAGGAAGAACAAAAGTATGTAGGGTGACAGATTTGTTAAATGCCTATAATATAGATATAGAAAAGTAAAAGTTATATGTTGGAGAGTATGAAAGAAAGACTAGCTCTTTAAGAAAAGAACTTAAGACAACAGCAACAAGGTAATATGCAAATGCACAAAATTATTATTCCTTAATGTTATCCATTTATATTGATAGGAAGCAATGGAAAATACAGTTGAAATCACATTTTTTAATGTGAAATGTTCGGGGTAAAATATCATGAAATTAAAGGAGGATGAAAAATTACTCAAGAAGTGGAGCTGTGGCTCAAGCAATAGAGAAACAACCTTGAGATTTTTCACGTAGGGAGAAAAATTATCCAATGTGATTTTATATTAGCATAATAGAAAGACATGGTGGTGGGGAGAAGGAAAGAGAGAGAGAGAGAAGGAAATACCGAAGTTCTGTCTGTGGTTTGAATAGTAATACATGTTTTATTTATTTTCTTCTATGTTTTTCAATTTTTCAAATTGTCTACAGTTAATATAGATGTTTAATGCTATTTAACATCATCTTCCAGGGCTGGTCACAGCATATCTACTAATTCTACATCACAATAAACTAATTGAATGAAAGAGAAACCAGAAATCTCTCCCTCAAGACTATTGAATAATTTCTATATTAACAATTTTCTCAGAGCATTCTGTGATAAACTGAGTTATTAGGAGACTTCTGGGCAAGGCACTGAACACTGTTCTAAGGGCTTTACATATGTTAGCTAGTTGAATTTTCCTAGCAACCCCTAAAATGAGTATCATTTTAAATCCCTATTCTACAGCAAGTAAAACATGAACATACAAAGCAAAAGCAGGAGATAGTGTTTGAACCTAGATGATCTAGCTCTAGAACCCCTGCTGCTATGCATATGAATGCTTCAAGTAACCAGGGCATCTCAAGTCTCATGGAGCCATGCCCTTTCTTCCGTGTTCCCTGACACACTTTGGTCTCAAAGACCAACTCTGCAATCTCTGTAGCTGTGCCCTGGTTGATCCCAGCCTCTTGCTTTGCAAGCTGTAGTAGTAGCACAAGTCCAAGTGAGTACCTGAGGTGGGTCATGGCCACCGAAGTACCTCTCCCCCCCCTTCCCCACCCCCACCCAATTCTCCCTCTTCATTTTCACCTGCGTCATCAGATTGCAATTCCTGTGACTTCTTATAACTTCATTTTTGCTTATGATGCTACTTTTCCCCTGAATAATGTCCTTCCAATGTCACACAAAGTCTTTATGAGTCTACTCAACTACTTTCTCCTCCAGAAATACTATTTGTGTCCATTTTAAAGTGACATCTGCACCTTTAACAATTCAGGTTTGCTTAATTATATTCCAACATGGCTCTTCCTTCCTAGTACAGTCATTGAGCTAATTAGCTTAGTTATTGAAGTTCAGTTTAAGGATAGAATGCATGTCTACTTCAACTTTAGTAACTGCATGCTCATTTTATCTCTGAATTCCTTTATAAATAAATGCATTGGATGATAAACAATTTCTGAAAAGGAGGGCATCATTATGCTTAATAGGAACTAGGAACTGAGCAACTTGGAAATTGAGATCATTACTTTGAAGAAACAAAACGATTTAGAGGAGGTAGAGTTATATAAAAGCTATCAGGATGACTCATTCCTTTGTGTAGATAGGGCTTGTAGTGTGTAGCCAGCCACACACCAGCAAGTAAAACATATAAAAATAATTTTTACAATCAAGAATTATTTCTTTTTTAAAGGCTTGTAATCCTAGCTACTCAGTACACTGAGATCTGGGGATTGTGGTTCAAAGCCAACTGGGGCTATACAGTCCATGAGATTCATCTCCCACTAACAACAAAAAAAGCCAAAAGTGGAGCTATGATTCAAGTGGCAGAGCACTAGCCTTGGGAAAAAAAATCGGAGATAGTTCCAAGCCCTGAGTTCAAGCTCCAGGACTGGCACAAACCAAACTAAACCAGACAAACAAAAGCAAGCAAAAGCAAGTCATGACCAGGGTGATAGTGACTGTCTTAGCTGTCAATTAACAACAAACTAAGCATATGTAAATTCTCTTAAACTCTGGATTAAACACTGTCTCCAGCACGGATGACTGGGTGCCGATGGGATCACAAGGGATTCCTCACTAATGAAGCTCACAATTGGCAAGGACTCAGCTCTTTTACTCACATGGTAGGTCATCCCCAGCAAGTGTCTTCTTTTTTATGCTTTGCTTACCATATCAGCAGATCCAAGAAGTTTGACTAACTCCGAGACAGCTAAAGTACCTTTCCTGTGACATAAGAGGGAAGGCCATGAAAGAACTCACCGTGGGATGACACAAAAGCAAGCAAGGTTTTCTTTTAAAGAGATGTGAATGGGCAAGAAGCTACACTGTCCCGCTCGGCATCACTGAAAGCAATCTGAGGCTGTACATATGTATTTATCTTTGGGAATGAGATAAAGAGAGGCTGAGCTATCTCTGTCATGGGCTTTCTCAACCTCGTGGGACTTCACAATTAGTCTCAAGAAAGGAGAAGAATCTATGGGGACTGACAGGTCAATAATAAAAACCATCATATGCACGACAGTGATGAAGCAATGGGACCTCCCATTCAGTGGGGATTTTGGACTTCTCCAATGCCTTCATCTCCATCTACCTCCTCCTCCATATTTCCCTATGAGAAGAATTACAGAAGATGCTACACAAACT